CGGGGCAATGTCAGTCATCAAAGATCGCTTGATAATACCCATATGCACATCAGGCGGTGTATCTGATATAGTGTCTTGCATGTAGACAGGACTGTTCATCCATACTTTATGCCCTGAGTGGAGTGTCGCTTATTTTCAAAATGTGGCAAATGAACGATCTCCAGGCCGCATACACTTACGACACGACGACGTGTGTCCATGAGCACGGTGTTTTAACTTGATATTAATGCAACTGATTGGTTGATAACTATATCTTCAATCAAGACTTTGAGTGGCATTTAGAAGGTGGTTTCTGTCCCTACATCTTGAATACCTTGTAGTTGGTTGGTTGGTTGTTTAACGCCGCACTCTCAGCAATATCCCAGCTATATGATGACGGCGGTCTGTGAATAATCGGGTCCAGACAATCGACCAGACAATCCAGTGATTAATATCATAAGCATCGATCCACATGCATCAACCAAGTCAGCGAACCTGACCACCCGATCCCGTTAGTCGCCTCTTACGACAAGCATAATCGCCTGTTACGGCAAGCATGGGTTGCTGAAGATCTATTCTACCCCGGATCTAATACCTTGTAGACATACTGAATTCATGTTGAGAGTCACTTCCACACTTGTTTAAAATCAACCTATACACGAGCTGTACTACATTACTTCGTCATGTGACTGTAGCTAATTCTCCAAACAGGTGACCATATGAATAAAGAGTTCAAATAATAAATGGAATATTAGGATACTAAATGTCACAGCTCTTAATATACATCGATAGCTCTGAAAACGACTCAAATTACTTGGCGATGATTACTACTCAAAAGGTTGTCAGCTTGATTTCAGTTACATCTGTGTAAATTTAAAGCGGTGTCAGAGACCTAGATTTGTTCAGCTGAGAAAAACAAAACAATTACGTGCAAATATGGCGTGTATGATCAGATAGTGTTGCCCCCATGTCGCCCCTTCCTGGCTGTGCAATCAGAGGGTCATCACGTGACACAATGGATAGGCTTTCCCACCGTGCATGACAACCGGAAGTCACATGGGAATAATTTGGAGGCAGTAACCTAATACAATAGTCGCTGCTGTTAAGCACAAACTCATGCGTTGGATGAATGTAAACCAGTTGCATGTACTCCAACTATATAGTAAGAACATTTGCATATTGCAAGTCAGATATCGCCAAAGACAAAGACAAACACTTCTCTGTCGTCTTGGCCAGTGTAAAAAAGTGAAAGTGCAGAAATACATTGCAATGGCGGTTTTGCATGACCATTTTTCAAATCATATTTTCCTGAATGCGACTAAATAGTGCCGATGCGATGTTAAATTTCAACGTACTCACTGAAACTTAGAAACTAATTTTTTTATAACTGACATGTACCTCCGTCTCTTTGACGATCTTTCCCTGTAGATAAGGAATGGACGCAAGAACTCCCGTGAAAGTTTTATTGCTCCGGTTCAAGCTGTAATTATTGGAATTAAATGAAAGGACACCAGGTGTTTTTACCCCCGCAACTGGCTACGTGACGACATGTATGGAGTATGTGTTTGACGCTGGTGCCCAGCCCCACTGGTGAATGTCCCGTCATACGCGCTATGCAATACATCTTATGAAGGTGTCGGCATAAGCAGAGTTATCTGCCATGTGGTTTAAATCACAGAATACAAATATTTCGAAAGCTTGCAGACATTGACGCAAATGGAAGTGCACTCTATAATTCAACACTGTTAATATGGGCGTGACCTAAGCAAGGGAGTGCATGTTAATTTTCAAAACATTCTTCCGGTGATATTGTATTCTTAAAGGTTTCACACGAAACAAGTAAACACCAAGAAGAGACGGCAATGCAACTGGTGGGGGTATGTTTTGGGTCGGATACTGCTGCTGGTGACTTTGTGAACCTTCGCAATGTAGTGAAGAGTTCACTGACCAACATTTAGCCATGTAACAAGTCTCAGACGTACACTTAATCCACGAAATCATATCTTTAAAATAATTGTTTGTTTTTCTTTTCAAAAGAACCTTTTCCCTTCTGCTGTGGAATCAAGGAAACTAGGCTTGGTTTAGTTTGCCCTGGACTTGCGTAGACTATATATATCTATTATTCCAGCCCATTTCTGGTGTCCCCCGCCGTGATATTGCTGGAATATTGCTAAAAGCGGCGTAAAACCATACTCAGTCAGTCTATTATTCCACAGTAATGGGGCAGGACTACAGGTCTCTGTTTGACGTATTATTATGGTTCTGTTCGGATGAACAAAACCTTCCAAATGGCGTGCTGGTTTTCTTGGGGGAATAAGTCAGCAAAGAGCCGGAGTCACAGGAGACTAATCGCAATTTTATTTACAAGAACAATTAACAATTTAAAATATCTTAGAATATAGCTGAGGGTGCCACAGAGAGTCGGTACAACCCTCTGGACTGTGGGAGAGAGGTCTGCTTGGTTAGAGCGACAAACCCCTTCTGCCTAACATTTTGCCTCTGTATGCATTTAACAAAACGTAGAACAATAAAAATGAATATGATTGGTTGATACACGATGGGGGTGTGCCTTATGGTTGATGAATGGCTAGACAGTGGGGAATACTTAATCCTGTTAATCCTGTTGGACTGGCACTAATCTTGTAAACATATTTACTGGGTGCTTGGAAGGAGATCATGGTATCACTATAGACGAGCTTGTATGGGGGCTAATCCATAATGAGTCTAATTTGAAGTAATTGGGGAATGTTATTCTACTATAGGTGATGACAGATTTACTTAAATAAAATAGTTCAAAGCAATCTATAAGACTATGTAGACATATCTTTTGTCTTATTGAATAGTATGTCTAGGAGATGTGTTCTCGTTACCTTAGGCTAGCATCTATCTAAAAAGCTATAACTGAAACTACTGATATTTTATATATGCATTTTACCTTATGATAAGTATTACTTGCTAAACTATAATTATATGAAATGATGTATAAATATTACACCATGATAACTTATAAAAACACTTGATGTGGATCTAATTATTATAGGAAAACTTAGTATAAATGTTATATTATGATAGTATCATCATGATGGCCATACGAAACGCTTCGACAAGGCCATTGGCAAGTTATGGAGAGGCGAAGTAGACACGAAACTAGTAAAGAAATGTTTCAGATGTTCCTATGTAGTTAATTTGAAAGATTCGATTTTCAAGAAACTGGGTCAAGGATGTTCAGTCTGACAATAATCCTAATCGGGAACAAGTAGAAGAAAATCGTCAGCTTAGTAATGTTTTCGGAGTCAAGGTGTTCCCAGGGTGAAACTGTTGGCTAACTTGCTGAAGGTATAAACATATCTGTTTTAACATACGGTGCCTGGTAAATTTATCTACACATGCACTACAAAAATAATAAGCACATCGTCTTATTTTCAAACTTGAAAGAGATATATATTACTGGATGCATTAAGTGATATTCCGCGTTAGCTTGAGCCAACTGTGCATGTTTTTGACAATAAAATATATCACGTCCCTGAGGTAAATAGAAAGTGATGGCGGATTCTGGCAACGTGCAGTGTATTTGAGCGGCGTGCACCGATCAGTGGGTTGCCCCATACATGTCTTCACTGACACGGGTCACAGCCGGTCTTCTGCATTAGCTATCTACCAGATCGCATCTCTCATTACATCTGTTTTAAGTGCTGAAGTGGAGGTGTCGGTAACGTACTCTATATTGCTGCAGTCAACACACAACGCGGAATGCTCGCATTGTTTGGCGGGAAACCAAATGAGAAGGGTGTCTCGACCTGTTATTGAATACAAATGTGAATCAAGTCGGCTTGTATGAACTCGAAACAATTCCTGGATGGGTTATTTACACGAACACTGCAGTAAACAGAGAAACGCCAGCTGAGGTAAAATGATCCAAACTGACAGGGGTGGTAATTACATTGAAGATATTAGGTAATTGGGTCACATATCCTCGACACGAATGCTTCTAAAGGGTTCGGGTTCAAACAAATGTGGATCAGAACAGCCCGTTTCATAATTCTGAATCATAGAATCACATACGTTTACTACTACTACGTATATACAATACGTCTTTGGTTTAACCTACATGTTTATGTCAAAATGTGTAACATGAACTTTAAAATATCACTAATGCGGTTGTCTACACACCAGAGGCCATAAAATAGATAATATTGCCATTTATCTTCTCTGCATTTGATAACTAACGCGTAACATACGACAGATTATCTCCTTTCTGTGTATTCAATGTTGATAAAATATTGTCAACAAGAGCGCTGACAGTTTGGGGATTTCATAACACATACACAATGCGTCCATGTCTAGTAATCAATCTATCAATGAATAGCATAAAAATGTTAACTTGTCACACTGTCTCGTCACTAGTGTAATCTACCCAATGATCAAACTCAACACTGACAACCCGATAGTTTTCGCGGAAGAATGGAGTGTTTCACATCGTGCGTCAACAACATCTCGCCACCCGACTTTGTATATATTACATGGACTGTAACATTCAATACAAGCGCTGTCTTTTCAAAGTCCAACACACACGATACAAACAGCGATATGTTTGGGAGTGGCTTGTTGCGGCGCTGAGATACAGCCACCTCACAAAATACACTCCCCCGAAATATAAACATTGCGATCTTCTAGACGCCTGTTCACAAAGTATGTCAGTGGCCTAGGGTAGGAAGATACTTGATAGCCCTTAACTTGACACATCTCAAGGAGCTGGTGGGTTCCTTTTAAGAAATTGATTTTATATTATGTTCTGTTAGTGAAAGTTTTAAAGTGATAGAATTGGTAATAATTCATGAACACAGCGTGGAAGAGTCGATACACCGTGGCATTATTCCCGAGCGCGTTGTAACGGGGATATACTCCCTTCGGCAGCGTTAACTGTAGGGTGACTGCGATATAAGGGCTATCACAGCTGAGCGATATGACCCCAAACTATCGCCAAAATTGCATGTAACCTTGAAAGAATATGAAAAGATTACCTTCTGCTCCAAGAATTAGAATCCCAGCTAACACGATGTAAATATTCACACCCATACCGCTGGAAATCTACAAATGAGTAGCCTCCCGTCTGCTCATAAAAATTTGTGAACTGTAAACTTCCCGTTTGTTTGGGTCTGGTCTAAACACGACACGCAGTTGGAGCACACCCGACCCGGTAGCAGTTACCTCCCTTGCGTAATACCATGGTGAAGGTATTCCCTCAACTACTTGAGTTACTCAAGCTTCGGGCAAGTCCACTGCTTTTCATTGGTCCTCGGGAGCGAGCGTGGCTATTTTTAGGCGGAGGGGATGAAAGCTGGTCTCTCACATTGACACTCGTTGGTACAGAGTTCGAGATGAGGTTAATAAAAATTACTGACATACTAATTCATGGATGTCCGTCAAATACCCTGACATCCCGAGGGATAACTAGCGCACGACATAATAATGCATGGCTTTATTAAATGTTCTGTTGAATTCGCGTGTCATGTTACAATGCAAATTAGATTGCAAATAACTGACGCTCTCTGACGAGACAGAATTCTTAGATAAACGGAAGAGTGTAAAAGACGCAGAGCTTTAAATCCTGATTTCTTTCATTTTTCACAATCATGTAATCTAATTCTTCTTCTTTACAGGTATTTCTAATTTCCAAAACATAATTACCTTTCTTCGTGTGCATTTCCCACGTGTGTGGAATTTTCACTAATTGCTTGTTTGAAATGGTCCTTAGTGTTATTCAAAATAAAGTTTAATAAATTTCAGAAGTTTTCTCATCAAGCGCGATTCCTTGTATTTCATCGTGTTCCATCATGTGGTCAGAAGGCGTACATATGGGAAAATATGTTGCAGGGACATCACTTGTTTCTGTTCCATAATTTTGAGATGCAGACCACAATAAACCATACGATTGAACACTAGTTCAAGTGTTTCCCCCCAGGGGAGCGCCTTGCTCACCGTACTGGCGAGTATTGATCAGGCCACACGGGCATCGTACGATGTCGGATGTTTCCGTGAGTGGTGTGACCGCGGACGCGCGGAATGTCGCGCTCTGCTGTGCACGACGGATTGCGCGGTAATGTTGAGATGAGTGAGTGAGCCATTGAATGCTTGTTTTGTTAGTGGAAGTTAACACAGTTCAAGCTATTCCAGTATGAGACAGGCAACCAGTGGTTGATGAAATGAGCATCGATCCACGTCGTTGAGGTACGATGACACATTATCAGCCTGATCCTCGTAACTCACATGTAGAACACAGTATATGACCCGTCTACATACAGTGTAACCACAATAACTGAACGTTATCAAGACATTCATATATCATTATCTATAGTTCTAGACCAGTACTATATATAGTATAAGTTCAGATATGAGATTACCCATTCATTCTCACGAATGAGGTGCATTTGATGTCCCAGACCTATAAAGGAAAATAACCGTGAAGATCTGGGGTAGAATAGGTCTTCAACATACCATGCTTGCCGTAACAGGCGACTAAAGGGAACCGGTGGCCAGGCTCGTTGATGCATGTCATCGTATCCCAATTTGCTTAGATCGATGTCCATGATGTCAATCACTGGATTGTCTGGTCCTGACTCGATTACTTACAGACCAACGTCATATAGCTTGAATATTGCTGAGTGCGGCGTTAAACAACATACAAACAGAATAAAGGAAAAAGATGATATATGTAAGATATTCAAATGTTTCTTATAAATTGTATAGATACAGATGGACTGAATGACACCGACATCAATACAGCGTAGCTAACTGTAAAGTACCTTTTTCAATAAGCAAAACGATACCTAAGTTACCTGTCTCACTAGACCAATAAAGACGCAGGGGAAACATGCTACAACAAGTTTAAAAAAATATGGCACTGCTTCATAATGTGTGCTTGATGTCTGGAATGATGTTCGAAGAGATGGAGTGAGTGAGTGAGAGGGGTTTAACGCCGCTTTTAACAGTATTCCAGTCATATCACGGCGTGTCAGCTTAATGTGGGAGGGAAGCCCGAAGTGATGCAGGTCTTAGACGTTTACCACTTCGGTGAAACCCACGAGCACGGGTATGGTGCTGACAAACCTAGAAACATAATCGGGGCGAACCGGGATTCGAACCCACAATCATAGGTTTCTGGCGTGCCCAAGGAAACTCTGCACAGCAAATCGCTGCGCCTTAGACGACTAGGCCACCCGTGCCCCCCCCCCCCCCCCCCCCCCCCAAGAGATGGAGCACGGGTGGAGCTTCACCAAGAAGACCACCAATGTCGGGATACACACGTTACCATAGTGAAAATAGTTGTGTGGATAAAACACTATCGTTGACAGTCGGGTTTAATGTGGCCTAATGTCCCAGTCTCGTACCTTGTTATGACGTCAGCGTTACGATTGTCTTGGTGAATACTTTGTGCAGCTTTTCATCTATTAGAGTCGTATAAAACCAGAGACACCTACGTTAACCAGAGTTTAAGGTGGTTGTGAATTTGAATATGAAATTGACATGGATCGCAAACCAGGTGGTATTAATCATTACTTATTTGTGAACTTGTTCAATTTATGGTAAGTAGGTAATTAGGTGAAGGTGAAGGACATCTGTACTCTGATGTACGTCACAAACATAAATGGTGCTGCTGAAAGTGTCAAATTGACCTTTTGAAGTAAAGTCGCAGGCCACATGAATTGTCTTTTCTATTTTTACCATTTGGACATCTTAATTATACCTCTTTAGTGAGAATGAGTGTACTAGTGCGGTGTCTGTTGAAACTATGTTGTCATATCGCCTTAAACAATGCTGATTACATTACATCGATATTTTAAGGTTTTATTTTAAAAATATCGACACGATTTCTCCGTTTGACATCGTGTTCAAGATTAATTTTAAGTTTGCTAATTAGTACTCGTTGAGCGTGTTATGTAATTTATAAAGTTATAGAAAGCGAATTGTTTGATAGTGTGAATTGCCCCCCTGGCCCGTGCGACTTAGTTGCGGCTTATTTATTGGCTTTTAGGTGGTGACATCCACTTAGTCCGGATACCATTCAACTTCAGTATAACGCGTGTCAATGAGCCGTCAATCAGCGTGGCATTTGCCGTGACGTCAGTCCGACGGGACAATCAATATCAGTGTATAGCATTGCTTTAAACACAAATGTGCTTATCGTCCTATCACAGTACAGGAGTGAGTTATAAAATTATTCTTGTGGTTTTTAATTTTCCTGTTCTGTTGTCACACCAAATATTCTGGAGCAAATGAGTTTGTTTGTTTGTTTGTTTGTTTGTGTGTGTGTTTGTTTGTTTGTTTGTTTGTTTTAACGCCACAGTAAGCTGTACTCCAGCTATATGGCGGCGGTCTTCAAATTGTCGAGCCTGGACAATCCAGTGATTGATATCATGTGCGCAATTGGAATACGATTACATGCATCAACCAAGTCAGACCACCCGATCCCGCTAGTCGCTTCTTATGCATCTTCCCGAGGCAAGGGAGTTAACTGACTATAAAAGTCCAGTTTCCAACCTTGCTGAACGAGGCTGAAATTTTCAGGCTCGATCGTAGCGCATACAGTGGCCACTCCATGTACCTTCTATTGGCTAATCAGATTCCATCTTTCATATCACTTGCATTTGCTTCAAACAAAATGGCGGCACCCAGTCAGGGCGATCTGCTCGATAATCAATATATATATATATATATATATATATATATATATATATATATATATATATATATATATATATATATATATATATATTGTAATAAAACGGGCCTTACCCTACGAAGTGCATCAAATCACGTGAGCATGAAAGAATTTGCAAAATATCTGTCGACCCCCAGTTGGCGGTACACATGCTTTGCAAATCCCGCAGTGGACAGAAATCTGCACGTTGAAATCCATGTTGTTTACGTACCGGAATTCTAGTTCGTTACAAGCATAGTCGCCTTTTACGACAAGCATGGGTTGCTGAAGACCTATTCTACCCCGGGTGGAGCAAGTGAGTGAGTGAGTTGAGTTAACGCCGCTAAACAGTATGTCAATTTTATAACGGCGTGTCAGGTTGATGAGGGAGGACACCAAGAAGTGACATTTGTTACATTTGACCACTCTAAATGGCATTGTGTGTTCATCTATTAAAATTATCGAATTTGGGCAAGACAAACACGTGATTGAAATTATGAACAACGTCTCTCGCCGCCCGGGCACGAGCACACGTAATCGACCGACTGATTAAGTTTCCTCGTACGAAAACCATATATTACCTTGGACCTTTCCTAAACAAATCCACACGGGGCATTCGAATATGCAGTGCTTCGAAAATGTTACGCCGTTCTGATAGATAATCATACAGCTGTCATTTCACACGAACTGATGTATCATCAACGTGAGGATTGGGGGCTCTGCAATTGACTGTGAAGAGTTGCAATCCAATGATCGTGAGTTCGAATCTCAAATTCAAACTGATTATGGTTCTTGGTTTGTCAGCACAATACACCTATCTGAACACCATCGGCTATTTCCGGTGAAAAGTGACGCAACGGGGCGAGGTTGGCCGAAAGCACAATACCCCATTCGTGACCAACTCGTCCCGTTTCGGGACAAGCCGAATGTAGACTTGTGCCCCCCTCGAAGGCATATGAACACGAGAACTGCTTCAAACAAGAACGATAACACTTATTCTACCTGCGTCTTATAGTAATTTTAATGTAGGGGACCTACACAAGCGCAACGAGACAGAGCGATCGGTATGGCCAATATGGGGGCTACTCAACGTCAGATAGCCAGAACCTTCAACTGCTCCCAGACCACCATCAGCAAGTTGATAATCCGCTACCAACAGACAGGACAGACTCAAGACCGGCCAAGATCGGGAAGACCGAGAGTGACAACACCGGCCGAAGACCGCTACATCCGGCAGATTCACCTCCGAAACAGATGTGTGACGGCGACGTCAACGGCGGCAACAACACTAGGGCATGCCATCAGCAGACGAACAGTCCTTCGACGACTTCGTACGGCTGGTAAACGAGCCTACCGACCCTTCCGTGGAATGGCCTGGACCCGTCTACACCGTCAACGCAGACTGCAATGGCACGAACTGTATTTCGGTGGCAGCGACGTGACTGGGCGAGAGTGCTCTTTACAGATGAAAGTCGGTTCTGTCTGTTCAGGAACGATGG